TTTTTTATTAACATAAAGTTTAAGCTGACCAAAACAGCATTTTTGTAAAATCGACTTCCAACCAAAGCTTTGGAAGATAAAACTCCATTTGAAACTTGGTATGGGTATAAGCCTTCACTAAATTTTCTTAAAATATTTGGCTGTGTATATTTTGTTCACGTGCCACAGGTAAAACGTGACAAGCTTGACCAAAAAACAATTCCAAGCATCTTTGTGGGTTATCATTCAGTTTCTAAAGCTTACAAGGTGTATCATCCTCAAACAAAAAAAAATGACAATCAGTAGGTATGCACACTTTAATGAGAATGAACAATGGGATTGGAAAAATTTGCAGAAGAAAGATAGTTATTCAAAAGAACCAGGAAGTGTTGTTACTAAAGAGAACCTAGCATATTCATGGCAAGAAGAGCTGAAAAATGATCTTCCAGTTAGAAGTACAAGGTCAATTTCAGACATCTATACAAGATGTAATGAGGCAATTTGTGAACCTGGTGATCCTGAAGAAGCATTACAGGATTCAAAGTCGAAGAAAGCAATAGAGGAAGAGTTGTTTATGATTACAAAAAATAAAACTTGGGAGTTGGTTAATAGACCTGAAAGAAGAAAGGTCATTGGCGTCAAATGAGTGTTCAGAACAAAGCTGAATGCAGACAGCTCTATCAACAAACATAAGGCCAGACTCATCGTTAAAGGGCATGCTCAAATGTACGGTGCTGATTATTCTGACACCTTTGCTCCTGTTGCAAGGTTAGATACAATCAGGTTGCTGCTTGCATTATCAGCACAAATGGGACGGAAAGTATTTCAGCTGGATGTCAAATCAGTCTTCTTAAATGAATTCTTGCAGGAGGAGATATATGTAGAGCAGCCTGAAGGATTTGTGAAGTAAGGTGAAGAAGACAAGGTCGACTTGCGCAAAAAGGCTCTTTATGGTTTGAAACAAGCACCAAGAGCTTGGTATAGCTGGATAGATGCAGACTTGATGAGTCTTGATTTTGTTAAAAGCTTATCTGAGGCCACTCTTTATGTGAAACATAAATATAATGACACACTCATTGTGTCCTTATATGTTGATGATCTTCTGGTGACAGGAAATAATACAAAGTTGGTTGAAGAGTTCAAAAAAGAAATGATGCAGGCTTTTGAAATGACAGATCTTGGTCTCATGACCTATTTTCTTGGAATGGAGATCAGACAAGGAGAAAATGAAGTGTTCATTGGTCAAAAAAAATATGCAAAAGAAATCCTAAAGAAGTTTAAGATGGAAGAATACAAGGCAGTAAGCACACCAATGAATCAAAAGGAGAAACGAAGTAAGGAAGATGGAGCTGATAAAGTTGAGGAAGGTTATTACAGGAGCTCGATTGGATATCTAATGTACCTCACTGCAACAAGGCCTGACATTTTATTTACTGTAAGTCTTTTATCCCGATTTATGCATTGCCCTAGTGAAATGCATTTAATTGCAGCAAAAAGAATATTAAGGTATGTCAAAGGTCCTATTGATCATGGAGTTAAGTTTAAAAGGTGTAAAAATTTCAAGCTGTGTGGTTTTTCGAATAGTGATTGAGCTGGATCAGTTGATGATATGAAAAGCACTTCAGGATATTGTTTCAATCTAGGCTTAGAGGTTTTCTCTTGGTGTTCCAAGAAGCAAGAGATTATGGCACAATCTACTGCAGAAGCTGAATTTATAGCAGCAACAGCTGCTGCGAATTAAGTTTTATGGCGCAAAAAATCTTGTGTGATTTAAACATAGAGCAGAAAGAAAGCACTAAAATTTTTGTTGACAACCAAGCAGCCATTGCAATCTCAAACAATCCAGCGTTTTATGGGAAAACCAAGCATTTCAACATCAAGCTCTATTTTTTGAGGGAGGTGCAGCAAAATGGAGAAGTGACACTAATTTACTGCAAGTCTGAAGATCAGCTAGCAGATTTGTTTACAAAGCCTCTTCCCATCAGTAAATTCGAGCTTCTAAGGCAAAGAATTGGTGTTTGCAATTCCAAAAGCAAGGAGGAGTGTTAAAACGTATTTTTAAACTGTACCTGATTCTTTTTCTTTGTTGGACTCAGTCAATAAAGCAGACCTAGTCTTTAAGATGTTGATAATATGGTTCTTGGTTTGTAACTTTATCCTAGGATTACGTTTTTATCATTTATTTTTGCTATTTAAATGTACTACTGCTGATCAAATAAACAGTTTTTCATCAACATAAAGTTTAAGCTCTGCATCTTCTTCTTCCTCTATTTCTGTCAACTTCAAATAAAATAACAGAGATGAATAACAAGAAAACAGAATTGCAATGAAGACCAGGTCAACGAGACAAACAACACAGAGCTACTTTGGATTAATGTAGACTATAGCAGTATCTGTACCATCAAGATTTAATTTATCTGACATCTTTTTCCTTATTCTTCCAATAATTTATACAACTTTACTACAAAGATAATATTTGTCAGTACATGTAACACAGTCGTAGTTTCTCCACATGGGAGATGTTGTTTCAAGCCCTACAATGGGCATTTACTGAACTAAGAAAAAGAAGTGACAAGATATGTTAAGGCAGGTGGTTACACTTTGCCTACACCAGCTTCTGCTGGAGAATTTAATTAACAGATATACATGGAAGGAAAAGATTTTAATTGGCGCTAGATCTTGTGTAATATCATGTGCGCACCATGTTGGCAACGCATGGTAATAACCATGTAAGCCGCATGACTATAGGAGGGGGAAAGCTCGAATGTGAAATGTTGTAACATCATTGACAAAGTCATTTTTGCTTCTATTAGAGCAAAGTTTTGGCCGAAACAAATCCTAGGACCCCATACGAAAGGGAAGAATGCAACTTGGCTCTTCGTAACCTTTGATACTCCATCTGCAAACCTATCTAGTTTGAACTCTCCTACATCCTCACCCTAAAATGTAGGATCACGATGGATTATGATTGGACTTTTACAAGAAGTTAGATTCCTACACTCCCTCTCAAAGTGGTTTGAAGATGTTGAGTGAACCGAGCTTGGAATCAATTTTTCAAGAGTCTTCCTAGGTAATGCCTTGGTGAAAATATATGAGGTTTTATGGCAATATTGAATATGCCACAAAGATAGTGGTCTTTATACTATTTTTTTTAATAGATTGTTTATTAATCTCCACTTGTATAATTCGATCATGATGAATTAGGTTCTTTGCTATACTTATTGTAGGTTAATTATCATAAAAAACTTTCATAAACTCTGAATAGGAAATTCTCAATTCACCTAATATTCTTCGTACTCATATTTCTTCACATATACCATGTACTAAAGTTCTAAACTCAACCTTAGCACTACTCCTTAATACCACTTATTATTTTTACTTCTACTAGTAACTAGGTTTCCTCATACATATGCACAATATTTAAATATTGATCTTCTATCAATTATAAAACTAGCTCAGTCTACATTACTATATATTTTAATTTCTTAACTTTTATTATTTTAAAAAAAATTAGTCATTGTTCATTTGTTATTTTTATATACTTGAGAATCTGAAATACTACCTCCACAAATTCTTCAATTACATTATTTATAATTAACTTACAACATTGACGATAAAAATTGATATCGGTCTTGTATATGAGAGGTAAACTAATTGACCTACTATATGTTGGTATCTTTCTTTGTCAACTGGAAGATTATTAATCTCACTTTTCAAACTAAATTGGGATCCATGGGAGTGTCTATTAGCTTGCATCCAAGCATTCTAGTTTATTTTAAAAGGTTAACACATATTTTCGCTGAAAAACTAAAATTCATTTTTTTGACTTAATAATTTTCATTTCTAATAAATATTTGAGATTTTGTAGATTTTTAATTTTCAAAATTTTTAGTTAAGATCTTTTTTAGTATTAGTTTTTCCTATGTCTCATCTCTGTAATTGTTATATAATTTACATCAATAATAAAAATTTTGTCTTTTTTTAAAAGATATTATGATATGTTTGACATTGATCATATCCAAATTTTTTGATTATTTTAGTAAACTTTTTGAATCATATTCTTGAAAATTGTTTGAGAACTTTTTGAGTCTTGAGATCTTTCTGTTAGTGACTTCACTTCCAATACCAGGTAATATCTTTATATATACGTCTTTCTCCGGTTATTAATTAAGAGACATTTTTCACATCTAATTACAATAATGGTCGACTTGAATTGGCAGGTAAAGATATTAGTATTTTGACCGTGTTAAGCTTTGGTATTGGCGCTAATATTTCCTAATAATTAATTTGATAAGATTGAGTTAACCCTTTCGACTACTAATCGAAATTTGAACCTGCTGAATGTCTCATGATTTCTTCAACTATTTTTTCCTTTCTCAGTTATTGATATTTATAGATAAAATAACTGAATTATGAAAAACTTAACTGAAACATTGACTGAATGTTATAAAGTGAAAACAGCGTCCATGTGTTGCTAATTTTTATATCACCTCCCTAACTCAAACCAATTTACATTTAAAGCCAATTAAAAGCATTGGCTTATTCAGTCCGCACAATCATCATGAAACTAAACATATACGTACATGGACCTAAATACCAGAGACATTTAAATAAATATTCCATTTAAATCATACTTCAAGGAAGCAAAAGCATTGATTGATGGTTCTTCTATGTGTAGCCCATTTCAGATCCTGGTGAAGAAAGAGCCCAGTCAACAGAAAATTGGAGAGAGGATAGTATTTATCTTCTGGAAATCGTTCATCTTTCCCAATACTTGTGTCATATCATCTGGATTCATTATAGTCACCCTCTGCGCTGGTCCTATCCACATAAAACAATATTTTCCTGCCAGTATATTTTTCAATTCGAGACCAAGGTTGAAGACGAACCAATCTTAGCAGGCATCCAGGGAACAGAGCATCAGACCTTCTAGACGCAGAACAGCACAAAGCCGCATAAAAGGTGAACAACAAGAAAACAAAATTCCAGAGACGAGCAGATCAACAAGACAAATAACAGCAGAGCCACTTTCTAATTCTTCTTTCTACTTGAAACTTATTTGGATTAATGTAAACTATGAGAGTGTGTACATCATCAAGATTCAACTTTTTTTTTCCTGACATCTTTTCCATACTCTTCCAATAATTTATACAACTTTACTACAGGGGAAAATATTTGTCACTACATGTAATACAGTAATAGTTTCTCCACATGGAGATGTTGTTTCAAGTCCTACAATGGGCATTTACTAAACCACGAAAAAATAGCGACATTATTTGTTTAAGCAAGTGGCTACACTTTGCCTACACCAGCTTCTACGGGAGACTTTAATCAACAGAGGTATATGGAAGGAACAGATTATAATTGGCGCTAGATCTTGCGTAATATCAAGTGGGCACCATGTTGGGGATGCATGGTAATAACCAAGTAAGGCGCATGAGTATAGGATGGGGAAAGCTCGAATGTGAAATGCTGTAATATCATTGACAAAGCCATTTTTGCTTCTATTAGAGCAAAGTTTTGGCCGATACAAATCCTGGGACCCAATGAGAAAGGGGAGAACGCAACTTGGTTCTTCGTAGCCTTTGAAACTCCCTCTGCAAACCTCTCCGGTTTGAACTCTCCTGCATCCTCACCCCAAAATGTAGGATCACGTTGAATTTCGATTGTTGGCATAGCGACTTCCACTCCAGCTGGTAGTACCAAGTCTCCAAGTCTTATCTCTTTGTCAACTAATCGAGCAAGTCCCACAACAGGTGGATAGAACCTTAAAACCTCGTACAAGATCATTGTTACCTATACAGAATTATTCAAAAATGCTGTCAGTAATCCAAAGGAATCACTTCCAGGAAGCATAAACATTTTAAACAATGTATTTCCCCAAACAACAAGACACATTTTGGAAATCTAACATAAAAGCATAAAGGAGAGACAAATTTGTTGGGTATTAACCCTGATCGTTTGTTAAATCCATTTTTTACTGTAAAAACATACAAAACACACTTTGTTGCATTTTAGTTCTTGTTTTTTAAGAGACTGCTAAAACAATATTTGAATCATTGATTTAAAATTTAATCCCACAAAAGATCTATATATAACAAGAAGGATATAAATTACTTACAACTTTAAGCTGATTCAGTCCATCAAAGTCGGGTTTATTTTTACCGAAGACTTGCAAAACCTCTTCTCGTGCACGAGATTGCCAATTTGTATGTTGTGCCAATAGAACCATTGTCCAAACAAGCAACACAGATGTTGTCTCTTGGCCGGCAAAGTAAAATATTTTGCACTCCTTGATCACATCGTCAATGCTCATTCCAGTATTCTTTTTATCTCCATGTTCTTGAATTTCTTTAGAATTGGCCTCCAAAAGTATACCTAACAAGTCATTCTTTGCAACCTCCCCTGCCTTCATTGCACTTTCTCTTTTGCTGATGATTCCTCTTAGTGAAACTTGTATTTCTTTGTCAACTTGCTTCAGTCTCTTGTTAAGCTTGGTTGGAACAAATCTGTGGAAATAAATGTAGTTATGGTGAAAAATGTTAAAAGGAAAAGAACATGTATTACCAAGTAACATTCATTGAAGTTTTGTGAAGAGAATCGTGTTCAACACAGGATAGCTCAGATTTACCTCCATCCTGGAATATAAAAGGATAGTAGAGCTTGTACTGTAAGTTCTGCAAGTTCATCTTGGAGCTGAAAAATTCTTCTGCCTTCCTGATAGCTACTCCCAAATGCTGCCCGAGAAATCACATCCCTCGTCAAATCCGTGAGATAAGGCCATACATCCAACTCACACCATCCTTCCACAGAAACTAACCCATCCCATTTGCTTATCAGATCACTGCAACTTTTGTAGAATGCGGGTACCATATTCTGTCATGTCAAATTTATTGGGAATAGACGATTGACGAAGGGAAAAGACAAACAGCGAGAATGAGCTAATGCACAAACAAAAACGCAATATAAAGCAACAAGATGTAGAAATACATCAAGAACCTCCCTCTGATAGCTTAAGCACTAAAATTGCTTAATGATTTGATGTCTGTACTGGTTTATAACTAGTGATTATGATACCTTCTTTACCAGCAACCTTTAAAGGGTGCCTTTTAGAAGTTCATTTGATATGGTGAAAAGAATAAAACCCTCTTCTGGTACCAAATTAAGGAGCCAAATAAGCAAACAAGTAATGAAAAGAAAGCAGTAAAAGATAACCTTGAGCTTCTCTAGTAGAAAGGCTTGATTAATGATTCTTCTATGAGTGACCCACTTCTCACCCTCGTGAAACAGAAGTCCCGTTAGCAGATATTTGGCCAGAGGGTTCAGACCTGGCTTCTTGAAGTCATTGATCTTGGTAAATACTTCTTTAATATGTTCTGGATTCGTCAGATTCACCCTCGGCACCACTCCGAGCCACATAAAAGAATTTTTTCCTGCCACCAGTTTCAGAATGTTACAGAAAAACCCAATACCCATAAGATTATGCAACCATGGAAGTTGAAATACAAATTAAAAACAAAAACATACCAACATGATAAAAAGCTGGATAGAGAGGACAGTCAAAGTCACTGTTCTTACCATATTTCTGCATCATGTCGCAGAAGAAGGGGGAGACCCGAGGGAGAATATCGTCGGTTAGGTTAATGGGTTTGGATTTTGCTTGGTTTATCACGTTGGACATCTCTTTAAGGTCTCCGATAAGAAGCCGATATGGGTTTCCGGAGAAACCCTGTCGCCTCAAGCACCTCTCCAGCTTCTTTGGCTTCAACCACACCCAATTCAGTATTCTCCATGCCAGTACCAGGGTTGCAGCCAAAGCAACCCAGACGGCGAGTCCTCCAAATGAAATTTGGAGTTCCATGAGCGTACACTAAAACAAAGGAAAAGAATAAAACGCAACAAAGTCTGCTGGAGCAAACTTCAAAAATTTCTCCCGGAGCAGATTCCAGAAGTAGCAAGTACCACGTTATTAGAATCCATAAAAATATCTGTTTTTGTACCCAATCGTTCTTTTCTGTCTGAATTATCTTGTAAATATTATACGAATATATATATATATATATCTGTCTGCCCTGCTTGCCACGTTTTTTTATCACTTATCATTTTCTTTTACTTAATAGTTTTGACGAACGTGCTTGCGTTGGGATTTTTTTTATAGAAAAAGTCCAATAGGATTAAAAATATTATTACATGCATACAAGTAATGTACTTGGATGAATAAAATATAATAATATATTCCATCAATATTTATATTTATAATGTATATTTGACTTGAATCTAATGAGTTACGTATAGTGTGCAACTATGATCATCATTAACTTAAATTCTGTGCTAAATAAACTTGGCAAAACAATAATAAAATTATTTGTAATATAAAAATTAAAAATATTAGCTTTCAACTTTGTGAAGAGAGGTACAATCAAATGATGACTTACGAACCCAATACAATTTTGTGTACCAAACAATTTTGTGATTGATTAGAATGACAGACATTGTTTGATACTTGGCAGCTGTACGACTCTCTTTATTAAGCTCATGTCTCAGTAAAATGACAGACAAATATAGTTTTTCAGCAACTGAGACAAACATATATATATATATATATATATATATACACATCTATTCTGCAACCCTCTGAGAGATTACCAGTCATTAGCTCCCTTTGGTACGTCCAAAATAATTGCAATGGTTGTGAGAATCGTCTTCTGCGCATAAAGTATCCTACTTTAAGACACTGGCATATTTTGAAAAGTGAGAAAGGCACAACGACACAAACACAACCCAAAGTCAAGTCAAAGGTTTTGATGTATTCGTAACCGACTAGGAAACCAGTTGGCAGTGTCTCAAAGCAAGCCTCAAATAAACAATGGAATCACGTGCTAATAATTGTCAACCCTTTAGATGATTCTATTGTTAAAAAAAAAAATTAAGAGATATGTTAGTTTTAAGTAATATTTTGTTAAAAAATAAGAGGAAGAAGAATGAGACTAGTAGAAAGATTCAATTGTTCATTTGTGATTTTTATTATAAAAAAAAAAAAAAAAAACTTTTAAGTATATGCATTTATAAATATTAATACAATTTTTAAAATTTTAAATGTATATATTATAATTACAAATTTTAAATGTATATATTAGAAAAACTTAAATTACAATATTTATAATTTTAACTTCTTAATAAGATAAAGAGTCATTTTAATTTATAAATTATTATTTTTAACTCTTTAATTTGTACATTAATATTTTCAGTATTTTTAAATTCACGAATTTCTTTTTTCCTCCACAACTAGTATATAATCTTTGAAAATTTTTAAATTTAAGTAGCTTGGTGAAAATATGTACAACATGGCCTTGAGTCTTCAAGCACTCAATCTCAAGTTTTGTTTTAGCAATGTAATCCCTGATAAAATGGAATGTGCATACTTCATTTATAAAATACTAAATTATTAATTAATGTTTCCATGGACTTATTGTCAATAGAAATTTCAATAGCTCTTCTTGAACCTACTTTTACAATATTCAGAAATTGACAACAAATGATAGTTTACAAAAAAAACTCAATAGAACTTATGTAAAATCAAGTGAGCACCAAATTCAGGAATGAATACTAAAAATCATGCAAGGGGCATGAGTATAACATGGCAATAGCTCAAACGTGAAATGTTGCAAGATCATTGCCAGTGCCACTTTTGCTTTTAGCACTAAGTTTTGACTAATGCAAATCCTGGGACCCCATCCAAAAGGAAAGAAAGAAACTTGGTTCTTCGTCGCCTTTGAAACTCCTTCTGCAAACCTTTCTAGTTTGAAATCAAGTGCATCATCACCCCAGATCTCAGAATCATGGTGAACTAGGATTATTGGCATTAAGAGTCTCAGTCCTGCTGGTAGTATTAAGTTTCCAAGTCTTGTTTCTTTCTCCACTGATCGAACAAACACCGATAGAGGAGGGTATAACCTCATAACTTCATTCAAGATCACTGTTACCTACACCAAACATATTTAGTATTCAAGTTAAGTAATAGCAAAAGAGATTCAAGTTGACTAATAGCAAAAAGTGGTAGATGTTAAGATATTGACCATGAACAACAATTCCCTAAACCCATTAAAACAAAATACCTTCTTACAATAATTAATCCCATCTTAACTAGCTCAAGAAATCGGCTGAGAAAAGCACAATATGTTTATGTTGATCGTGATCCAAATTTCAATTCTATATAGTAAAAACAAAAATACAATTTAAATATAGTAGACATGTTAATGAAACAACACTTTAATTCAAATGTGTTTTCGTGATTTCTACTTTGACAATCAAAATTTATGAAATTTTAATTCAATCCAATCAAAATTTTCTGAGAAATCTATGGAACAATAATAAAGAAAATATACTTACAACTTTAAGCTGACTCAATCCATTAAAATTAGGCTGCCTATTACCAAATACTTCCAAAACTTCATCTCTAGCACGAGATTGCCAATTTGTATGCTTGGCCAGCAGAACCATTGTCCAAACAAGCAATACAGAAGTGGTCTCTTGGCCTGCAAAGTAAAATATCTTGCACTCGTCGATCACGTCTGCAATGGTCATTTCAACATCTTTCTTTTCTTCACGTTCTTGAATCTTTCTAGAATTGGATTCCAGCAATACAGAGAGTAAGTCACTGTTGTTAACTTCCCTGCTTCCATTGCCTTCTTTCTTTTATCTATGATCCCTTTGAGTGAATCTTGTACCTCTTTGTCAATTGCTCTCATAACTTAGTTGGTAGAAACCTTTATATATGTAAAATGTTAAGCTAGCGTAACAAAAAACCAAGAAAGGGATAGCAAGTTTTAACCAATTTATAAAATGATATTCAGAAGAAAACAGGAGCTAGCAAGCAAATATTCAACAGCATGCCTCGAGAGTTGTATTCAACAGAATTTGTTCAAAGCTATGTTTTGTTTCTGCCAGCGAAGTGCCTTCAAATTTTCAGATACTTATAGAAAAATTTCACACAAGAGTCATGAAATACACATCCCTTTTCATTTTCTTTTTAAGAACGTCATGCATTGCATATTTAGATTACCTCCATCCTAGAACATAAACTTTTTGGCAAGCTTGGTTATTAGTTTGGCAAGTTCATCTTGAAGTTCAAAGATTCTTTTCCCTTCCTCATAGCTGCTTCCAAATGCTATTTGAGAAATCAAATCACTTGTCAAATTAACAAGATACGGCCATACATCCAACTCACACCATCCTTCAGCAGAGACTAACTCTTCCCATTTGCTGATCATATTGCTACAACTTTTGTAGATTGCAGGTAGCATATTCTGCTTAGCAAAAAGAGAAATCAAAACTTTTTAGCTACCCAAAATAATATACAAATTTGGATCCCCTAACATAGCTTGCTATCTATCCTCATCGATCAGACTGATACACACATACCTATATAACCAGACTTAGGTACATTACAACTGAAAAATATCTGTTAAATAGAAGAAAAAAAATTAAACTGAGTGAAACTGTGAAAGAACCTTTAACTTCTCAAAGTTGAATGCTGGGGTGATGATTCTTCTTTGCTTGGCGCATTTCTCCCCTTCGAGGCTTGGGAGACCACATGTCAACGGTCTGACAAGCGGGTTGATGGCATTTTGCTTGGAAAAGTCAGTCCTCCTGGTAAGTATATCTTTTATGTGTTCAGGGTTCATTACAATCATCCTTGGCACAGGTCCATCCCATGAAAAACAATTTTTCCCTGCCATTATTTCAAAATCTAATATAACGGTAGTCTGTTAGCTTCACCAAATCAATTTTTAGTATTTGGACAGGTGAGCTATTACCGGGGAAGTTCCACTAGAACGATGAAGTATTACATCTACTCTCTCCATTTATAACAGTTCCAATTCGGTGTCAGAGCAAAATTTGACTTGATATTCATGTCAAATGTTAGCTACTAGTTTCTAACACTTAGCCCATAGCAGACTATATTGTATGAGCAAAGAAGTGATATAACAAATGAAACTACTACAAGTCTGCGAGTCAGTTCAAAAGATTTTAGAATTTCTCTTTACATGAACATAAGTGATAGAAGAAAAAAGCAGAAGAAAAGGCACCATGGTCATTAGAAGGCATGATCCTACCGTACCATATTTCTTCACATTGTAGTAAAAACTTGGCGCAACACATGGTGCACAATCATCAGTAACGCTATTGGATTTGCACAACATTGCTTTCTGTAACATCATGGAATTCTCTATCTTGTCCCCAAAAAATAGCCGATAGGGGTTGCCAGTTAAACCTTGTTGCCTCAGCCATTTCTCCAGTTTCTTGGGCCTCAACCACACCCAGTTGAGCATCCACCATGCCCATATCAGTATTGCCGTGCCTAAACAAACCCACACTTCTGCTGTCGCTGCTGAAGATATTTCCATCTGATTCATATTGAAAAAAAAAAAACGAAGATATTTGATTTGATCTTTCTTCCTATATGTATATATGAATCTGTTTCTGTTTATACTAACAAATTATGTCATCTAATAAACATGTCCAATTACATAAAACATAAAAGACAAAGTAGACAATTGTGAAAAGTGAAATTAGAAATTTAATGTTTAAAGTAGATAAAAGCTAAAAAAATACATACATATAGTTCAAGTTATATTTTGGGGAATTAGTTTTACAAAGCAGCCAGGTGGACTTTACTGCCAAGATCGAAGAATTTTCAACAGAAACACACAAAAAAGCGTGTTGCTGTACATCTGGGTTCCAACTTTTAACATTTCGACATAAAAAACCAAAAACCAAAAGGAAAAAAAAGGTTCCAGGCTGAATTCAAATGAAAAGTGGTAGATGAAATCCCTACTTATACCATGTCAATGGACTTGCTTCCCAACAAAATATGAAGATTTGGATAAACACACACGAAGATTCAAAACAACCAAGCACTCGGGTTTATACTAGTTGCATAGATAGGACTCCATTTGCAGAAAAGATCACAGGAAGGGCTGAGATTTAGAACCCTTTCCTGCTCTCTTTCAACCCAAAAGTTTTCCCATGGTGAAAGGGATTTCTCTGGTGTTCCAGTTTATCATAAAGCCAGCAGAATACCGACAGGACTTAGATAAAGCTATCCATCAATTCACACATGTAGGACTCGGGCAATAACAAACAATGGATTGTCTGTCACATTAAAGTCCGGATAACTGAAAAGAAATTGTTAAATTGGCTCTGCTGCTGAAACCCTTGATAACCTTCTCCTTGAGTGATAGCTAGTGAAGATGCTGAGGTTGCAGAAACATTAGCAATCAATCTATTGTAGCAGACTTGGCTGCTGCTGAAACTCTTGATAACCTTCTCCTTGAGTGGTAGCTAGTGAAGATGCTGAGGTTGCAGAAACATTAGCAATCAATCTATCATAGCAGACTTGACCTCACGTGGAAGTGGAGGAAAGAGAAGTGAGAAGAGATCAGGACTTTGATTGAACAGGTGATGATCACACAGTGGAAGTCCGATGTCACATCTTGTCTTCAACAACTGCAGGACAACTTTAGCCGACTAGTTTATATATATACATATATTATGAGGTGTAAACATATTGAGCCAAGCATATAAGTCAGATTTCACATTAATTAAATTTTGTGTCAAGTCGTGTACCTAATTATTCTCAAAACGAAGTGAAAAAGACAAGCTTTTAGCTTGTCTAGGAGGAAAGCTGGAATGATGATTCTCTATGTGGAGCCCATTTCAGATCCTGGAGAAGAAAGAGCGCAGTCAACAGAAAATTGGAGAGAGGGTTTGTATTTATCTTCCAGAAATCACTGATCTTGTCAAACCGTTCTTTCATGTGATCTGGATTCATTATAGTCACCCTCGGCAGAGGTGTGGATCTAAAACAATCTTTTCCTGCCAGCATTTTTTTCAATTCAAAACCAAGGTTGAAGACAAACCAATCTTATCAGGCAGCCAGGGGAGGGAGCATCAGACCTTCTAGACGTGGAGCAGCATAAAACCACAGAAAAGCTGAACAACAAGAAAACAGAATTGCACAGAAGAGCGGATCAACAAGACAAATAATACAGGATCACTTTCTAATTCTCCTTTCTACTTGAAAGTTATCTGGATTAATATAACTATTGGAGTGTCTACATCATCAAGATTCAAGTTTTTTTTCCCCTGACATCCTTTTCCATATTCTTCCAATCATTTATACAACTCTACTACAGGAGATAATATTTTTCAATAAAAATAATACAATCGTAGTTTCTCCACATGGGAGACGCTGTTTCAAGCTCTACAATGAGCATTAAATAAGCCAAGAAAAAATAGAGGTAACCTAGACCAGCTTCTACTGGAGATTTTAATCAACAGAAGTAAATGGAAGGAGAAGATTGTAATTGGTGCTAGAGTTTGCGTAATATCAAGTGGGCACCATGTTGGGGACGCATTGTGATAACCAAGTATGGCGCATGAGTATAGGATGGGGAAAGCTCGAATCTGAAATGCTGTAACATCATTGACAAAGCCATTTTTGCTTCTATTAGAGCAAAGTTTTGGCCAATACAAATCCTAGGACCCCATGCAAAAGGGAAGAATGCAACTTGGTTCTTCATAGCCTTTGAAACCCCATCTGCAAACCTCTCCGGTTTGAACTGTCCTGCATCCTCACCCCAAAATGTAGGATCACGGTGGATGTGGATTGTTGGCAGAGCGACTTCCACTCCAGCTGGTAGTACCAAGTCTCCAATTCTCGTCTCTTTGTCAACTGATCGACCAAGTCCCACAACAGGTGGATAGAACCTCAAAACCTCGTACAAGATCATTGTTACCTATACAGAATTACACAAAAGTGCTGTCAGTAATCCATGGGAATCAGTTCCAGGGAGCATAAACATTTTAAGTAACCTAGTTCACCAAGCAATAAGACACATTTTGGAATGCAACATACAAGGATAAAGGAGAGGCAAAATTGTTGGGTATTAAACCTGATCGTTAGTGAAATCCATTTTTGACAGTAAAAACATACAAGACACTCTTTGTTGCATTTAAGTTTTTGTTTTTTAAGAGATTGGTAAAACAATATTTGAAATGACTGATTTTAAATTTAATCCGAGAAAAGATCTATACATAACAAAAAGAAGAATAAAAATTACTTACAACTTTAAGCTGATTCAGTCCATCGAAGTCAGGTTTATTTTTTCCAAAGACTTGCAAAACCTCCTCTCTTGCACGAGATTGCCAATTTGTATGTTGTGCCAATAGAACCATTGTCCAAACAAGCAACACAGATGTTGTCTCTTGGCCGGCAAAATAAAATATCTTGCACTCTTCGATCACGTCGTTAATACTCATTCCAGTATTCTTTTTATCTGCATGTTCTTGAATTTCTTTAGAATTGGCCTCCAAAAGTATACCTAGCAAGTCATTCTTTGAAAACTCCCCTGCTTTCATTGCACGTTCTCTTTTGCTGATGATTCCTCTTAGTGAAACTTGTATTTCTTTGTTAATTTCCGTAAGCCTCTTGTTAAGCTTGGTTGGAACAAATCTGCGGAAACAAGTGATAGTTATGATGAAAAATTGGTAAAAGGAAAAGAACATGCATCGCCGAGCAACATTCACTAAAACTTCGTCACAAGAATCATATTCAACACAGAATAGCTTAGATTTACCTCAATCCTGGAATATAAAAGGATCGTAGGACTTGTCTTGTAAGTTCTGCAAGTTCATCTTGGAGCTGAAAAATTCTTCTGCCTTCCTGATGGCTACTCCCAAATGCTGTTCGAGAAATCACATCGCTTGTCAAATCTGTGAGATAAGGCCATACATCCACCTCACACCATTCCTCCACAGAAACAAACTCTTCCCATTTACTGATCAGATCACTGCAACTTTGGCAGAATGCGGGCACCATATTCTGTCAAATTTATTTGAGACAGACGATTGAAGGGAAAAAACAATCAGACGAGAATCAGTTAACACACAAAAAGAAAGCAATATGAAGCAACAATAAGTAGAAATACACCAAGAACCTCCCTGTTATAACTTAAGCACTAAAATTCTTAATGATTTGATGTCTGTACTGGTATCTAACTAGTGATTATGATAACTTTTTTACCAGCAACAATATGTAGAAATACACCAAGAACCTTGAGCATTTGATTTGGTGAAAAAGAAAAGATAAAACCCTCTTCTAGTACCAAATTGAGCAGATAAATAAGCAAACAAATAGTGAAAAGAAAGCAGTAGAAGAAAACCTTGAGCTTCTCTAGTAGAAACGCTTGATTAATGATTCTTCTATGAGTGACCCATTTCTCCCCCTCGCGAGTTAAAAGTCCTGTTAGCAGATACTTAGCAAGAGGGTTCCCACCCGGTTTCTTGAAGTCATTGATCTTGATAAATACTTCTTTAATATGTTCTGGGTTCCTTAGAATCACCCTCGGCACCACTCCGAGCCATATAAAAGTATTTTTTCCTGCCACCAGTTTCAGAATGTTACAGAAGAACTCAATACCCATCTTCACAAAAATTGATAGAAATTAACAACAAAAACATACCCTCATAATTAAAATATGGTCAAAGAGGATAGTCAAACTCACTGTTCTTACCATATTTCTGCATCATGTTACAGAAAAAGGGGGAGACCCGAGGGACAATATCGTCGGTTAGGTTCAGGGGTTTGGATATTGCTTGTTTTGACACGTCGAACATCTCTTTAAGATCTCCGGAAAGAAGCCGATATGGGTTGCCGGAGAGACCCTGTCGTCTCAGGTACCGCTCCAGCTTCTTTGGCTTCAACCACGCCCAATTTAGTATTCTCCATGCTAATATCAGGGTTGAAATCAAAGCAACCCAGACTGCGAGTCCTGTAACTGAAATTTGGAGGTTCATGAGTGTAGAGCAAAAGGACAAAATGCATCCAAGTCTGGTGGAGCTAACTTGAAAATTTTCGCTCGGAGCAGATCCCAGAAGTAGCAAATATAACGTTATTAGAATCCATCATAAGATCTGTTTGTAGCCAATCTTTGTTTTCCGTCTGAATTATCTTCTAAATATTACACGGCTATACGTATAAAATATTTTGTTTGGAACTGACGCTAAAATAATCAAATCTTCCCTAGCATTTTTACTGGGACTAAGGCTCCGACTTGAACTGGAAGTTAAGCACGAACTAGACCCATCTTGTCTTGTTATCTTGATCATGTGACATCAATTGACAAAGGCTCAATCTTGATCATGTGCATTTCTTTTTTTCCTTTTACCTGTTACTAGGCTGGTTCTTGAATCTCGTCAAGATTCAATTTTTTTTTTTTTTCTGACATCTTTTTTCCATATTCTGCCAATAATTTACACAATTTTAGTACAGGAGAAAATATTTTCCAATACATGAAAAACAGTGGTAGTTTCTCCACATGGAAGATGCTGTTGCAAGCCCTACAATGGGCATTTACTACACCAAGAATGAATAGTGATAAGATTTTTTTAAGCAAGTAGTTACTTTAATCAAATTTAATCAACATGGAATGAAAAATTTTAATTGGAGCTAGATCTTGCGTAATATCATGTGGGCACCGTGTTGAGGGCGCATGGTAATAACCCAGTACGGTGCATGAGTATAGGATGGGGAAAGCTCGAATTTGAAATGTTGCAACATCATTGACAAAGCCATTTTTGCTTCTATTAGAGCAAAGTTTTGGCCAACACAAATCCTAGGACCCCATGAGAAAGGGAAGAAAGCAACTGGGTTCTTCACAGCCTTTGAAACCCCATCGGCAAACCTCTCTGGTTTGAACTCTCCTGCATCCTCACCCCAAAATGTAGGATCACGTTGGATTAGGATTGTTGGCAGAGCGACTTCCACTCCAGCTGGTAGTACCAAGTCTCCAAGTCTCGTCTCTTTGTCAACTAATCGAGTAAGTGCCACAACAGGTGGATAGAACCTTAAAACTTCATACAAGATCATTGTTACCTATACAAAAGTATTCAAAAAGTGCTATCAGTAATCCAAGGCAATTAGTTCCAGGAAGCATAAACATTTTAGACAATGTATTCCCCAAACAGTTAAGACGCATTTTGGAAATGTAACATACAAGGATAAAGGAGAGACATAATTGTTGGGTATTAAAACTGATAGTTAGTTAAAATCCATTTTTGACAGTAAAAAAAATGCAAGAACTCTTTGTTGCATTTAAATTTTTCGTTTTTAAGAGATTGCTAGAACAAGATTTGGATCACTTATTTTAAAATTTAATCCCACTAAAAATTTATACATGATAAGAAGAAGGATAAAAATTACTTACAACTTTAAGCTGATTCAGTCCATCAAAGTCGGGTTTATTTTTACGGAAGACTTGCAAAACCTCCTCTCGTGCATGAGCTTGCCAATTTGTATGTTGTGCCAATAGAACCATTGTCCAAACAAGCAATACAGATGTTGTCTCTTGGCCGGCAAAGTAAAATATCTTGCACTCATCAATCACGTCATCAATGCTCATTCCACTATTATTGTTATCTCTATGTTCTTGAATTTCTTTAGAATTGGCCTCCAAAAGTATACCTAGCAAGTCATTCTTTGCAAACTCCCCTGCTTTCATTGCACGTTCTCTTTTGCTGATGATTCCTCTTAGTGAAACTTTTATTTCTTTGTTAATTTCCTTCAGCCTCTTGTTAAGCTTTGATGGAACAAATCTGTTGAAATAAATGTAGTTATGGTGAAAAATCGTAAAAGGAAAAGAATATTTATTACCAAGTAACAGTCCTTAAAATTTTGTGAAGAGAATCATATTCAACACAGAAAACCTTAGATTTACCTCCATCCTGGAATATAAAAGGATCGGAGAGATTGTATTGTAAGTTCTGCAAGTTCATCTTGGAGCTGAAAAATTCTTCTGCCTTCCTGATAGCTACTCCCAAATGCTGTCCGAGAAATCACATCACTTGTCAAATTTGTGAGGTAAGGCCATACATCCAACTCACAACATCCCTCCACAGAAACCAACTCTTCCCATTTACTGACCAGATCACTGCAACTTTTTTGGAATGCAGGCACCATATCCTGTCAAATTTATTTGAGACAGACGTTTGACGAAGGGAAAAAAAGACAGAGAATGAGTTCATGCACAAAAAGAAAGCAACCTTTCAAGGGTATAACCATTTACAAGTTCATATGATTTGGTGAAAAAGATAAAACCTTCTTCTTCTACCAAATTACGCAGACAAATAAGCAAACAAATAGTGAAAAGAAACAATATAAAGCAACAATATGTGGAAATACATCAAGAGCCTCCCTGTTATAACTTAAGCACTAAAACTGCTTAATGATTCTGTAATGGTGTCTAACTAGTGATTATGATATCCTTTTTTTACCAGCAACCTTTCAAGGGTATAACCTTTTACAGGTAGAGGTATTGAGAGGGAAAAAGGTGGGGAAAGATGCTCATCAAGTAGAGGTATCACACTTATTTTTTGCTAATGATACTCTGATATTCTGCCAATCTAAGGATACATGTATTTGGTTTTTTTTAATTTTGGATCATGACTTATATAAGTGGGATGATTTTGGGAAAGTCATTGATACTTTAACATAGATATAAATATTTTTGTAAATGGACGGCACCTCCTTCGTGCCTTATATTAATTTTATTCTTTTTATCTCAAAAGCCTTTTACAAGTTAATTTGATATGTTGAAACGAATAAAACCCTCTTCTGCTACCAAATTAAGCAGACAAATAAGCAAACAAAAATGAAAAGAAAGCAATAAAATATAACCTTGAGCTTCTCCAGTAGAAACGCTTGATTAATGATTCTTCTATGAGTGACCCACTTCTCACCCTCGTGAGAGACAATTCCCGATAGCAGATATCTGGCCAGAGGGTTCACACTTGGCTTCTTGAAGTCATTGGTCTTGATTAGTACTTGTTTAATATGTTCTGGGTTCATTAGAGTCACCCTCGGCACCATTCCGAACCACATAAAAGAATTTTTTCCTGCCAACAGTTTCAGAATGTTACTGAACAACCCAATGCCCATCTTCATAATTAAAAGATCGATAGAGAGGACAATCAAACTCACTGTTCTTACCATATTTCTCCATCATGTTGCAGAAGAAGGGGGAGACCCGAGTGAAAATATCGTCGGTTAGTTTAATGGGCTTGGACATAGCTTGTTTTAACATGTCGGACATCTCATTAAGGTCTCCGGAAAAAAGCCGATATCGGTTACCGGAGAGACCCTGTCGTCTCAAGCACCTCTCCAGCTTCTTTGGCTTCAACCATACCCAGTTCAGTATTCTCCATGCCAATATCAGGGTTGCAGCCAAAGCAACTGCAACTGCAACTGAAATTTGGAGTTCCATGAGTGTAGAGTAAGAGAAAGTAAAGTCACAAAATGCATTCATGTCTGATGGAGCTAATTTAAAGAATTCCGGGGGGAAGCAGAATCCAGAAGTAGCAAATATAACGTTATTATCATCCATAAGAAGATTTGTCTTGTAGCCACCTTTTATTATTATTGTTATTGACGTACGAGCTTGGCGTTGGGAGTTTTTTTTTTTTTTTGTCTATAAGGATTAAAAATATTATCTACATATATACAAGTAATATATGAGTAAAATATAATAATTATTTTTAAAATTTTAATAATATTAATGATATTTTATTCATATTTATTAAAATTTTATTACGTATTTAAAAATTATTAATTATAAATTAATAATAATTTAATTTAACAGTTACGAAATAGTAAAATAGTTGTATCTTAATTATGAAATAATAATGCCTTAATTTTAAAAATTATAGATTAATAATTCTCTCAATAAATTAATGATTATTTATTTTTTATTATGTTTGTTTATTTTTTTTTTTTGTCTTATTTAAACAAGTAGGATTATTTAAAAATTAATTATTCTATTATTTTATGTATACACATATTATATATATGTAATTATACCTAACTTAGGTGTGGAGAGTGTGACAATAGTCATTATTAATTTAATTTTATGTTATCCGAATTTAATAAAATAATATTAGCTTCAGATTTTCCAATCCATCTTTTTTGTTTTTATTTAGGGCTTATTATAATTATGTCTTTTATTTAAAGAGTTATAATCAAATGATGATTTTTGAATCCAACCACTATTCTTGTATTTTTTTTCAAATCAATATATATATATATATATACATTTTTTTTTTGTAGTATTACTGTACATAACAAACAATAATGTGATTGATTCTTCTTTACAATCTTTTTTGAAGAAATTTTTTCTTAAAAGATAATTATAAGAAATTAAACAAAAATATTATGAAGCATATATTAATGGAGATATATAACTCAATAATTCTGAGATTATCTAAAAATATAATTTTGCTAAAAATAATTTTAACATAAAAAAAAAACAACAAATTATAAAATAAACAATAAATATTGAAATATAAAGAATCGTATAAATATAAATTCTAACAAGCTACAGCCTTATTATGCATGCATATATCCTTAAATTTACCAAGTTCTGCACCAACCCATTAACAATAATTTCAAATATTTCGTATAGCAGATTTCACAACTTGAACACATGCTTAACACTCAAGAACTGTATCACTTTCTTTATGAACCTCACGTCTTAATAAAATAACAGACAGATATAGTTTTTCAACAACCGAGACAAACATATACATCCATTCCGCAACCTGTTGGAGATTACCAGTCATGAGCTCCCTTTGTTACGCCAAGAATAATTGCAATGGTTGCGAGAATCGCCTGCACGTATGTAATCTAGCTTTAGGACATTGGCATATTTTGAAAAAGTGAGGAAGGGAAGAATACATAGAAGCACGATGACATATATTTGTCAATCCTGTAGCACTAGATATATATGATTCTACATCTTCATTTTGACCATCTATCCTGATTTTTCAAATCTTTGGATAGTGTTGCATGGAGACTGCACTCTCTGCAAAGTCATTTTTTAATAAAATTACAATAAATATTGACTGAAAGATGCGTGAATTCTGAAGCTTAATGCTCAGGTCGTGTTGGATAGGTTTTTTCAAACTCCACAACCTTGGCTACTTTGAAGGTAAGGAAAAGGGAAGCAACTTAGAAACACTAATTGGCTGCCTGTTTATATTCTAAATGACCTTTTCGAATGAAAGTAAAGCCACTTTCTACTCTGTTGTTCCCAAAAACAGGTTAAACAA